AAATTTGAACGAATGTAGATGTGTGTCTTCTCTTCCAAAGAATCAACTCTAGCGCAGTGAAGACTAGCTCTTTCTTGTAACTGAATAGTGCATCATGGAGCAGAAAGACAGGGCTTTCATATGAATATGATGAATTGTTTTCCAGTTACTTCATTACTGAGCGAAAATAGGTAAACGACAATACATGGCGTCAATGCGAACTTGCATGTGTTCGAAACTTCTACTAAAAAATTATTATAAAAACACAGCAAAGACTGATCTCTATGAAAGTTGTTACAGCTGTAGAGGAACATCTGATCTACAAGATAAAATTATAGCCACTGCCTTCTGATCACTGAACTGTGAGAAAAAGTGTTCGAATATCGATGGTGTGCGATAGTAGGTTGCTGACTCTATAGGGGCCTTAACAACTTGCATAGGCGGCTATAGGCCAGGGCAAGCCAGGGCTAGTCAGGCGGGGCCTGACCCTTGCAACGAGGAGGGTCAGGACCAACACACATCTCGAGTTTGTTCTGGGCCGCACAAAATGTGCGGCACAGGAAGTGCAGACGTTTATCGATTTATTAATAATAATAATAGTTAATAAACTACTTAAGATGGATGCTGTGGAGAAGAATTCTGTTCCAGTTTATGGTTTTTGGCTACACTCTAAAGCAAGAATGAACAGAAGAAAGTGACTTTTGATGTTGCAAATGGAAACCAATGATGCTCTTAGGGTTAACTACTTGACTTCTCATCTTTTATTGGAGCATGAACAATTTCAATATCACAGTAACTAAGCTCCTTAAAAGGAAGGACTACCAACCACTTCTACTTAAGTAGAAAGCTTCTCCAAGACTATTCTTTCTACTATTAGGATATTTGGTAAGCTTTCCCCTACAGGACTGATAAATGACAAAAACAGGAGTAGAAGAAGCTGCTGCTATTTTATTTCATATGAACAAATTTATTTTTAATAATTTTTATCAATAAAAAGTAATAATAACAATACAAACAACAACAATAATAGATTTAATAAGAATTTTATCACATTATTCATTATTTTGAGCTACACCCACCATAAAATTGCAACATCAGCCCCGCCCAAGCCATACAAGTGCCAGAACAAACTCGAGATGTGTGTTGGTCCTGACCCTCCTCGTTGCAAGGGTCAGGCCCCGCCTGACTAAAGGTGGATTTACACTGCAAAGTTAACGTATGGCCTTACCTTACGTTAACTTTGCAGTGTAAATCCTGCTTAAACGAGAAGGTGCGGTATAAAAGGCGGGGCCCTGGGCATGGTGGCTTCCGTTTTATTCACGTGTAAAAATGTCGGCTCTAGATGGTGTTGCTTCTTCAAGGAAAAACGCAGGAAGAAAGGGTT